CAATTATGAAGGCACCTGACATGGTGTGATTCAAAGTTTCCCGGGGGGACAGGTGCTCCATGCAGCTGGCCATTTCTGGGTACTGCAGAAAACCCAAGTGAGTGGACCAGTACGCTGGAACGAGGAAGAGAAACTCCTTCCCCTGATGGGCTTCCTTCTTCTGTCCCTTCAACTGACAAAAGTTAACGCCATGCCAGCTGGCAGGGCAGAAAGATGTACAGGTCATCCCCATTATAATAGAGGAGGCAGTGAATGATAGATTTGGATTGAAAGGTGGTAAGTTGGTAATTGACTCAATTCCTACACCAATTTTTCATATGGACTCCTTAGGATGCTTCTGATAAAAACTTGAGATAAAGTGGAATCCTTCGAACTCATAGAATAGCTTCCTAGGCAAAGAAAGGCAAGTTGGCAGCTTAACCGGTGTTTCCAAGCATCTTGAGAATGAAGGTATTTACTTCCTTCACTCATTTATTCATTATTTCATTCAGATGCCTACTCTGTTCATAGCATTGGGTGTAGTGGTACAGGATAGGCAAACTATGTAGTTGCTCAAGGGATAAGAAGCAGTGCATGTAAAATAAGGCTGTTGGTACTTAGTAACCTACTCTCAAATTATTCTGGAAGATGCTTTGGTATGAATCCAAATCCAGACATCTATGAATAGAAGAAATATCCTGGAGTTGCCTCAGAAACAATAAATAATACAAACAAAAACACTTATTCTATTGTTAATCTTCAGACCTCTTTAAAAAATTCTTTTTAATGTTTGTTTATTTTTGAGAGAGAGGGAGAGAGAGACAGAGCATGAGCAGGAGAGGGGCAGAGAAAGGGACACAGAATCGGATGCAGGCTCCAGGCTGTAAGCTGTCAGCCCAGAGCCGGACACGGGGCTCAAACTCGTGAACCGTGAGATCATGACCTGAGCTGAAGTCGGTCGTTCAACCGACTGAGCCACCCAGGCGCCCCTCCTAAGAGCTCTTTTAACTGATAGACTCATGAATCAGTCTAGTCCATAAAGTCAAATCAGTTTTTTCTTAGAGATATTTGAGAGAAATGATTTAAATTAGTAGAACACATGCAAGTGATAAATTAATAAACTCATTATTGTTAATCATAGGTGGACTTTTTAAAATTTCAACTCTCCTAATAGAAGAAAAAAAAATAATAACGGACAATGTGTCCCCAAAACAGCTGAATAGTAACGTGCAGTGTTAATCATCACGCAAATTAATCTAGTATAACTCTGAAATGGCAAACGCTGACATTGTATAGCAACATGGAATGGGTCTATTAAACACTGGATTAAGGGACAAAGGAGACCACACAATTGTGTTAGAACACTGTTGAGCGTCCACTGCACTGTCTGGGCTTCGTTGTGAACCTTCCTATATTCCAGCTTTCAGGTTCCGGGTACACATTTTGTTACAGAAATAGTGGACTGTTTGCCTGGCTGCACCGACCTTAGATAAAACTCCCTCCCAGGATCCTCCTACCCTCATTCCCTAGGAAACGCACGCACATTTCCCTCCTGTTGTTCCTGGAAATCACCAGAGACGACAAGGGGGTCACTAAGCTTTCAAGACAGGTCAGCTCATGACTTTATACTCTTGCCTCCATATCAGTTTGCCTCTGCAGTTTGTTTTCAGGTTGTTGGTTGTTTTTTTTAAACAGGTAAAAGTTGAATTATTTTCTCTCATTCCCTAAGCTTTTGTATGGTGTCTACTAGTTGATTTTTTTTTCTTTTGTTTTCTGATCACTAAGCTGTAGTAAGTCCGTTGTGGATTCTAGCTGCTCTCAACCAGAAGACCATAGAGAACGCGGGGAAAGTTTTCTAAGGTCTCCCTAAGACCACGTTTGTTTAATGGCTCCCCCTGCTGGAGAGAATCGGCACTGCTTGTTTTTGTTACCAGATACAATGTTGGGGACCAGCTAGGAAAGCCTCTAGACGCAGCTGGAAATTTTCCAAAGAAATTGACCTAAAGATGAAACCACTGGTAGCAGCATTGTGAGAGACTGAAGAGAGGGATGTTCTGGATTTTCATCATTGCAAGATGTCTTCTGTTAAAGTGAGGGCACCAATTGAGAAGGACTGAGATCTTGAAAACTGGAATAGGGACCTATGAGAAAATTCCACTCAAGCTAGGGACATGGACCCCTAAATTCAACTGAGTCTTTTTTGCCAGCAAATGTAGCCCTTCCACTTTTGTCTTAGGAGGTTAACCTTTCTTTGCTTGGAGCATCTGTAATGCCCACCCTTCAGTAGATGGGTTCCAGGTTGAGTGAAGAGATATCTAATTTGAATTCTAAAAATAGAAGATTATGCTCCCTCAATCAATTCCCAGACTGGAGCCATTTTACAGACCCAGAATCTCTATAGTTTAGAGGAGGGGGGGAATTCTTTGAGAAAGAACTCTACTCAACAAAACAAAACAAAACAAAACAAAGAAATTATATAGTTCATCTTTTCCCCACTCTTCCCCAAAGAGATCTATGGCCATTTGTCTGGATGGCTATGCACTGAGGAAAAAGAAATAATCGAACTTTTGAGGAGTTGCTGTGCAGTGAATCTGAATGGACACTAATTTCAAGAGACCCAAACCATCAGTGTGTTATACTGATAAGAGTAGGAGCATAAATAGATCAAATGATGAATGAAGTTATGGATTATGTTGGCCTCACAGTGAATTCAGTTGGTCGCTCAAGCAAGAGTTTTGTTCTTTCCATCCATCACAGACTTCTCCCTAGGAAGACCCTATAGCTGGGCACATGGATGCTGGTAGCTTCTATTTCCTGAAGACTATCATCCAAGAACTCCTGGATATATATGTCAAAATGGAATCGATTTCCAAATTTGAAAGGAGAAAGAAAATAAGAAGGGATCATTTCCAAAATATCTGCACCAAGATTATGAAATGAATTATTCTAGGACCACCATGCAATCACTTGCTAGACTTCAGTGTAGAATCTCATGAGTGGAAATCACGCCACCCCGTGACTTTTAGTAAAATGACTGCAAACCAGAGGACCTTCACAGTCATCAGCAGTGTCTGAATCTCAAGACCTTTACAGACTACTCACAGCACAAACTGTTAGCTATTTTTGTGTCGATTCCCTGGGCACAGCAAGTCCATGGTGTTTACTGTCCCTTAAAATATTCTGTGTTTTCAAGTGTGCATTCTGAAAATTGTTCTAATAAATATCCTTATAGTACTATAAACACTACTGTGCTCATAAAATAAAACATTTTTGTTGGAATGTAGCATCAACATACCATAATACAAATACTTTACTGATCGGTTTATACAGTTTCCAACTCAACATACAGATGTAGGTTTGTCATGTTATGATATGATTTACAAGAAAACTTATAGGATATAATCACCTTAAAGAGGTGAACATCAGCATCACGAAAAGTTTTGTTTCTGAAGCATTTAAGCCTTCACATAAACTCCTTTGGCATTTATGAGATTCTCTTTCAATATCATCGCCCAAAATTCTTCAGCTTTGCCGAGGCACTCAATGACCTACCAATGAGCCCTCCATTGTCTGAGCCTCTGGTCTTTTGCAGCCTATCTGTCCAGCCTCATATCAGTAACTTCCATGATCATTTAGGGAAAATAATACAGCAAATAATTTTTTGAGTAGCTCTTATGTGCTAGAAACTTTAATAGGCACTAGAAACATAAAAACAGTTATGGAAACATTAGGTACTATACAGTAAGGTGAGAGTGGAGAACATTAGCCAAATATTCACTCGAAGACTGATACTGGTAAGACCAAAAATGTGGTCAGTGCTGGGGAGAGGAATATAATGTTGGGATATTTGACCTTGTCATGGAGATGACCTTGTCATCAAGCTTAAAAATTCAGCTCTTTATGAAGAATGTTTAAGAGTTCACTTGATGGAGAAGAGAAAGAAGAGAATTTCAGGTATAGGGATAACGGCTGTCAGGCAGTGTGGTGAAATTCTGTATGAGCTCCTGAAATTAGTCTAATGTGGTTGTGGTACTCAGAGTTTGGGTAAGTTTTGTGTAGAAAGGCACTAATTATGCAAAGATTCGAGCTGACAAGGATTGTAGGCTGTTATGAAGTTTGGTGTTATTCTAAATGTATTACATATATATATACATATATATATATATATTTTTTAAAGTTTATTCAGAAAGAGAGAGTGTGTGTGTGTGAGCAGGGGAAGGGCAGAGAGAGGGAGAGACAGAATCACAAGCAGGCTCCCCACTGTCAGTATAGAGCCCAACATGGTGCTCGATCTCACAAACTGTGAGATCATGACCTGAGCCGAAATCAAGAGTCCTGTGCTTCACCAACTGAGCCACCCAGGCACCCCTGGTGTTATTCTAAGAAAGATGCTGAAGTGTTTTTCCAAAAAAGGGTTGTATTATCAGTATATGTATTTTTAAAATGTCACTTATGTTACAGGGTAAAGAATAATTGAAATGGATTAGGAGTAGAACAAGGAAAACCTTGTTATGGAAGTTCTTTAATATTTTGGTACTTTTGCATTAAGTTTGTATAGATAGCAATTATGAAGGAATGAAGGGAAGAGGTCACATTTGAGAGGTATTTAGTGAAAACAGTAAAAATACTTGGTCTTGTAAGAAGAAGAGTGGAGAGCTGTCCAGAAAGGTGGGCCCAACAGAGGGTGATGATGACACAGTTAGTTTCTAAGTTGTGACTGTCTTGTCTTGTGTGGGGTGCCATTGGCTGGGCCACTGAGTGGTGGAGGACGCTTCCTTTCATGAGGAAAATGAATGAACTATTTTTATATGTTGAGTTTGCAATGCCCTTGAGATTTTAGATTTCATATGTTAATGTTTCATATGTTAAAAATGTTTCATATGTTTATTAATCAACTTTCTTTGATATAGTAGAGAGGGTATGTGTGCGCTTGCTTGTAAGCAGGAGAGGAACAGGGGAAGGAGAGCTAGAATCTTAAGCAGGCTCCACACCTAGCGCAGAGCACGATTTGGGGCTCGATCTCATGACTGTGAGGTAATGACCTGAACTTAAATCAAGAATCAGGTGCTCAACCAAATGAGCGGCCTAGGTGTCCCAATTTGATATGTTATATAAGCACTATGGTATATGGGTCTGGTGATCAGGGAAAAGTCTGGATTAGAGGCATAAATGTGCTATGAATTTCTTAGTAAGAATATAAGCAGTTAGGTAAGAGGGAAGATGTAGAGAAAATAAAGGCCGAAGTTTCAAAACTACAGGCAAAATGAGAATGGTGATTGAATAACTGATAATTCTGATGAAAAAATATATTCATTCTATCTTCCCACTATATAACATTTCATTTTCTCTATTAGCCTTCCTACATCTCTGAGAAATAGTACTATCTCCACACAAATGAACACACACACACACACACACACACACACACACACACACCCATCCTTTTGGGACACACATGGCCTTCTGAATTTTGATATTCAAACTTCATGTGGCATCTTTGAGTCAGAGAAATGGAGACTGATTTTCTTCAGTATGGATTACAGTTGACAAATCCACGGATTAACTTTTGCACACTTTTGTTCAGCTATCTTAATTTGAGACACCTGGGCACATTTCATGCTCCGAGTCCGCAGTTTTTCTTCTATTGAAAACCTATAAAGAAAGAAAATGGCTATCTTTATATCAGCATATGTCCAGCAACTAAAGAGAACTTCAGAAAATATTTTCTAAATTTTTACATAAAAACATGAGTATTTAAAGAATCCAGGATATGATGGGTAAGGTAATTCTTCCCACCCTCAGTTTTATTTTGCAAGAGAAGTTAATAGTTAAGGATTATTAGTCAAGGATGTATATGGATGATGCTAAAATGACACTTCTGGTTTTGTTCATTTAAAAATAGTTGAAAAAAGCAGATATTTATATTTGGCAAACTATACTTGTGGTCTGGGTTTGTTTGTTTTTTTTTTTTTTTTTTTTTTTTTGAGAGAGATTTTTTGAGTAGGGGAGAGGGGCAGAGGGAGAATAAAAGAAAATGCTAAGCAAGCTACATGCTCAGCGAGGAGCCCCAGATGAGGCTCAATACCACAACCCTGGGATCATGACCTGAGCTAAATCAAGAGCCAGATGTTCAACCAACCAGCTGAGCCACTGAGGTGCCCCTAAACTTGTGCTCTTATAAGAGATTTTACACTTGTCAATTTGCCTCTTTAATAAAATAAAAGGATGCTATTGGCAAGTCCTGTTTCACATCCTTACATCTTCTGATTGGGTGGAGTGAGATTTCTTTTTTTTTTCCTCAACGTTCTGAGTAGACCATTTTATACGAATATTTGTCAGATCATATGAATCAGTTAGGAAAATTATACTTGTTTCCTCAGGTCAAGCCTGACAGCATCAGACAACTCTTTCTTGTCATAGAGGATGAGATTAAAATCACAAAAAAAGCTAAAATACAATAAACTCACAGATGGGAGTCAAAAGAGCTGTTGTCTATCCAGATCCATGATTCCCTTCCGGGTGGAATAGTCAAGCCAATCCAGTAAAACACTTTAACATTCAGGTGCTTCCATAGGAAACTCTGAAGAGAAGAGGAAATGTTCTATGAAACAACTGATTCTTATAGATACAAAAAATTAGTATCTCAAGAGGACCTTCTGGGCGCTTGGTCCTGCACTAGAAGCAGAGATAGAAGAGGTAAGACATGCTTCACATTTTTCTAACAGCTTCGAGTGGAGGGATGAAGTACAGCACCACAATGCCGTGAAGGGTGTGTGGTGGCAGGATATCCTGACCGTGAAGTCAAACTTCCAAATTTGAGTCCTGGCCCTACGATTGATTACTATGCATCTTAGGACAGTTAGTGAATCTTTTTACTTGTGTTTTCGCCAATCTCTGAAGCTCAGATTATACTAGTATCTATATAAAAGAGTGACTACTATTTTGTGATTAAATAACATTATTATACACTGCTTGGCACATAACAAATTCCCATTACGTAAATGTTAGTGCTTATAATTAACTACAAGTATGAAATAATATATAGAAGCAAGAAGATGTACAGGGAAGAAAGAAAGCAATACCTGAGTTGACATGGTACGTACTTTCATAGTTTAATATCTTAGTCTATAGTAATAAACCCCCTGAGCCATATCTGTGGCCAGACATATTAAAGATACATTTCCCAGGCTCCTTTTGGCTAAGCGTGGCAATGTGACTGACCTAATTTCTGGCTAATGGAACAGAATGGAAGTGATATTGAAATTCTAATCAAGCATTTAAAAGGTAGGGCTACATCCCTCCGTTCATTATTTCCTTCTTTTCTGATGACCAGAATGCGGACATGGTGGTAAATCACACAGACAGCACCCTACAGATGAGACCAGGAATCCATAGCTGTATAGACTAAAATGTGAATGACATAACCTATTCCATATAGAATAGACAGATTTCCCCCCCTATTTTAACACTTCACCATTGAAAACATCAGACAATCTGTGGCTTATAGTAGTTTAACTGGGGCTTTGTTTTTGCTTTTTAACTGTCCTAACACTTTTAAGTGTACCAAAGTTACATCTTATACTTGAAATTGTTTTAGATTCAATAAATAAACCTTGTTTAAGCTACAGCGGTTCTCAGTCACATGCAGCTAAACTCATGTGCTAAATGTCATAACTGTTTGTAAGAAAGTAAATAGTCATTATGCACGCGTTCAAGAGGGTGTAGTGCTTTTCCAGTGAATAATCTTTGCACTATGGTAGAAAAAATCAGGTGACTTAATTTTTGTAGGTCTGCTTCTGGTATCTCTGTTCCGTTTTACCAGTCTATCTGTCTTTTGCCAATTCTATACCATATTAACTAATTTTGCTTTATGGTTTGTTTGGGTTTTTTTGTTTATCTCTTGGACTTATTTTTTCAGTTATTCAAAGTGGAGCATTGATGGGGCGCCTGGGTGGCTTAGTCGGTTAAGCGTCCGACTTTCGCTTAGGTCATGATCTCGCGGTTCGTGGGTTCGAGCCCCGCGTCGGGCTCTGTGCTGACTGCCGGCTCAGAACCTGGAGCCTGTTTCCGTCTGTGACTCCCTCTCTCTCTCTGACCCTCCCCTGCTCACGCTGTCTCTCTCTCTCTCCTAGAAATAAATAAATAAATAAATAAATAAATAAATAAAAAACAAAGTGGAGCATTGATAACTCCAACTGTATTTGTGGATTTCCCCATTTCTCCTTTTAGTTTCATCAGCATTTACCTTGCTGCATATGTGCATATATAAATAATTGACTCCTGTTATGGGATTCAGGGGCAAGAGGGTGAAATATTAGGGACTGAATTGTGTGTCTCCAAAATTCCTAGCTTGAAGCCCTCACACCCAGTACTTCAAAATATGACTGCATTTAAAGTCAGAGCCTTTAAAGAGCTGACTAAGCTAAACTCGGGTTATTGGCATGGGTCTTAATTCAATCTGGCTGGTGTCCTTATAAGAAGAAAAATTTGGACACATGAATAGACACAGATGCACCCACACTGAGGAAAGACCATGTGAGGACACAGTAAGAAGGTGGCCTTCTGAAAGTCGTGGAGAGAGGCATTGGCCAATACTTTGATCTTGGGACTCACAGCCTTCAGAACTGCAAGAAATTCATTTCTCTTGCTTTTAAGTAATTAAATGTGTTGGTACTTGGTCATGGCTGCCCCAGCAACTCATTTATCATTTTGCAGTATTCCTTCTGCAAGTGTCTTATTTCTTTTGGTCCTTTTATATACCTCATGCTCAATTGTTTGAAGCTGTCCAACATAGCGATTTTGTGCGTAGTAACGAAATTACGTTACCAGTTTGTCGTAGGTCTTTAATGTGGGGTTGAAGTTAATCGTTAGGAGGGTGGGTTTGTGATTTGTTGCTGCTCTGGTCAGTCTCAAGGCACCGCAAGTTTCCAATTCCTGTCCTGGTATCTTGTGTTTAGTAGTTTTGGTTTGTCTGTTTGCCTGAGAAATGTCTCCTTGACCTGAGCATTGAAGTTTCCCTTTGCACCTTGCCTTAAGAAGATCTCTTTGCGCATTCTTCTTCCTCCTTCGTCCCTCTCACTCCTTGACCTCCTATTTGAAACTTGTTAGCTTGGTAGTAAAAGGCAGCAGAAGGGACGATCTTTCTTGTTCTGACTATATCTCAGTCTTAGGCAGGAACTTACCCCCGGATCTTCTCTGTGTGGCTTTCTCTGTTCTGCTGCCCATCTCCCCGAATGTAGCCACGGTCCCAGGTGTTTTCTCGCCTCTCCCACAGGAGTATTTTTGGTCCCCAGTCCTCTTTCTCACCTGCACCGGTGTTTGACCAGCACCCTAAGGGCAGGTGTCCTCGTCACCACCACATGCATGAAGGCTTTTGATCCATAGCACAGGTAGCAGACGGGGGGCAAGGATTGAAGTGAAATTTCTTGCCACTTCTGCATCATTGTTCTTTTCTTCTCCCGGGTCTGTGCCACAGCAGACACTTTCTTACGGTTCTTTACAATTTTTTTTTCTTTTTTATAATGTTTATTTTTGAGAGAGAGAGAGAGAGTTGGGAAGGGGCAGGGAGAGATGGAGGCACAGAATCCAAAACATGCTCCAGGCTCCAAGCTGTCAGGACACAGCTGGTCACTGGGCTTGAACTCACAAACTGCGAGATCATGACCTGAGCCAGACACCCGGTGCCCCTCTTTCCAATCTTTTCTTTGAGATCCAGTGGTGTTGACAGAAAAACAGCCTTCCAGTGAGGGAGGTTGTGTCTTCTCGCTCGCACAAAACTGTTTCAACAGAGATTTTGACTCTGCACTCTAACGTTCCAATGGATTTGAAACAAGTTGGCAACTTATAGTTAACTTGGCTATTTCTTACTGTAAAATTTGTAGTAACAGTTCTTTAAGATCTCTGCATCTTGGGGGCGCCTGGGTGGCTCAATCAGTTAAGCATCTGACTTCAGCTCAGGTCATAATCTCACAGTCTGTGGGTTGGAGCCCCGCATCGGGCTCTGTGCTGACAGCTCAGAGGCTGGAGCCTGCTTCAGATTCTGTCTCTCTCTCTTTCTCTTTCTTTCTCTCTCTGCAACTCTCCCCCTCATGTTCTGTCTCTCTCTGTCTCAGAAATGAATCAATGTTTATTTTTGCATCTTGGAATGAAAGCTATAAATCTCTTTGCTATTTTGTTGTTGTTTTTTTAAATTCTTCTTTTTCTCATTTTCTCCTTATTCCTCCCCTTGTCCTTCCTTCTTCTCCTTCTTCTTTCTACTCTTTTTTTCTTTCTTTTTTCTTTGCTATATAATGACACATAGGTTTTCTAGATGGCCATATAATTCTCCTTCCCCCCCCCACTTTATTCTTAACTTATTTGAAAGCTAGAAAAGTACTTGTTAGAAAAAGTACTTTCTGTTTCTTGGAGTAATTATTTTTCTGTAATATATATCCTATCTGACTTTTACTTGCCTTCTTTGGAGAAATTTGGAGACAGAAATATTTATGTATAAATCCTATGCTGCTTCCTATTAGATTCTTATTTATCCATGAAATAGAACAATTACACCTGGTCCATGCAGTTGATTAGGGATAATGTGAAGGGGTGCAGTCTAAGCTGTAGGAAGAAATTTTCTATTAAAATATATTGTCTCAGTTTACTGGTCTCCCAAATCTGGTTTATTGATTGCCTAGAAGACATGTCTTTCCTGCATTTCAACATCCTTCCCTTCGATAGTGAGCAGGAAAGAGATGAGGTTCTTAGTGAAATATTTCATTGCATAATTTCTTCATGCAGTGATTTATTATATATCCCTTCCATAAGATTCTTATGAGAAGCTTTCCAGCTGATACCCACTTCCCCATTCTTGTCTTAAAATTAACATTGACGAGAAGAAAACAGTTCTTAATCTATCCTGGGTTCAGCTCATATTTGAGTCCATTTGAACTGCATCTGATAGACAGTCTTACAGTCTGAGATTTGGTGTTTCACTGCTTACAGTGAGAAGATAGCTCACTTATTTTTATTTATTTATTTTTCTTGTGATGGATTCTTGTGAGACTCAGAAGAGATTTTCTTTTCCTCTTCAGAAATTTCAACAACTGTGCTGTCCCCCCAGATGTCTATTATTCAGTCAGGCTTGTAAAGTGCTGCTGGTGGGTTTTCTGAAACGAAATCTTTGACATAACTTCTCATTCCAATATACCAATCCTTATGCAGAGTACCCTTCTTTGATGCATACTAATCAACATCTATATTGGCCTTATTAATTAAAGGTTTAGTGTCCAATATTCATGTAGCAAAACTTCAGTATAAATTAAACCAGTTAGAGAAATCTTCTGCTCAAGAAGAATGTGCTTAATGAGGGCTATTCTGTATTTCCTTTATCTCAACATAATCTTTTTAAAATTCTTTTAAAATTTATTTTATTTATTTTTGAGACAGAGAGAGACAAAGTACGAGTTGGGGAGGAGCAGAGAGAAAGGGAGACACAGAATCTGAAACTGGCTCTAGACTCTGAGCTGTCAACACAGAGCCCGATGCGGGGCTTGAACCCACGAACCATGAGATCATGACCTGAGCCGAAGTTGGATGCTTAACTGACTGAGCCTCCCATGTGCCCCATCTCTCAACATCATCTTGAGTTTAGCTGCCATGATACCTGACAGTAGCCTTTGTGACTATTGCAATAAACATGAAAGATGAGGGAAGATATTTACCGTCTTACATTTAAAAATGGAATCTAGTAAGCAGCGGGGGTTCCTTGTGGAGAAGTGAGGTGTACAGTATCAGATTAATTCTTCCAATCCATAGCTGCCCCCCCAAAAGCTTAAAAATAAACATGTAGTTAAAAAATTCATTCAACCAACATTTATGTAGTTAATAGGAATGAGGCTTAAAATTATTTTCATAGAAATTTTCAAATATGTAGCACAATGACTACAATGAAAAGTGTGAAGAATACTATAATCTCTAAGTTTAATATCTCACCATATCAATGAAGTCTCGAATCACCATGAGATGTGAATTTTTCACGGCACAGTCATCTTTACTTTCATGCCAAGATTTATTCTTTTCAGCAACCCAGTAACACTTCCCCCCATGTAGCTTCCAGTCTTTCGAAGGGCATGATTTATGAGCAGTAGAAGAGTTCAAAGAAACTGGAAGGGAAAAGGATAAGCAATTAAAAGAAACATAGAACTATGTCCCTAATACCGTATACAAGCTACAAAATTTGTTAAATTATGGTCTAAAGTTTTCTTTGACAAACGTATGTGCTTTTCTCAGGAAGATATAGAAAACCTGAACAGACCCATAACTAGTGAAGAAATCGAATCAGTTATCAAAAATCTCCCAACAAATAAGAGCCCTGGACCTGATGGCTTCCCAGGGGAATTCTACCAGACATTTAAAACAGAATTAATCCGAATTCTTCTCAAGCTATTCCAAAAAATAGAAATCGAAGGAAAACTCCCGGACTCATTTTATGAAGCCAGCATCACTCTGATTCCCAAGCCAGACACAGATCCAGCAAAAAAAAAGAACTATAGGCCAATATCCTTGATGAATACGGATGCA